TATTTATAGTAATGGTAGATCTTAATTTTGTGATCCGTAGATTTATTGATGGTTCGCTCAATCGTAGACTTATTTATAGTAGTGGTAGAGTTAATATTGTGATCGGTAGACTTATTGATTGTTTGCGTAATCGTAGACTTATTTATAGTAGTGGTAGATTTATACTATGTGGTAAACTTATTAATAATAGTGCTAGAGTTAATTTTGTGATCGATAGACTTATTGATGGTTCGCGCAATCGTAGACTTATTTATAGTGGTAGAGTTATTCAATAAAAGGTAAAATCGTAATTTACGTCAATCTTCTCTACACAACCCAGTTTCTCTCAAACCCTAACAATGGTCGGCAACCACCTTTTAGCTCGTTCTTACTGTATTTTAACTTGTTTTCAACTGGATTTCGCTTAAAACTAGTTGATCAAACATCATATATCCCTAATCTAACCAAAAATCAAAAAAATTCGAGTTTTTTTTTAGCTTCTGATTTTTAATCCGATTTTACCTAAATACCGACGGTACACCTCCGTCGAGGATGTATCCAACGTCTCTGCAGCCTTCGCGACCGCTGTTTCGAACAGAAATATTACCTAAACTCAGATTTTTTTTAATAAATACATAATAGCATTCTTGTAATAAAAAGTTTTTGTGATGGTTATAATGTCTTTAAGACATTTGTCAGATTTTTCATTTGTTTGAAAGTTGTTTTAGTAATTAGACAACTTTCCAAAATTGTTTTAGTAATTATAAGTTACAATGGAGTACACAAGATATCTATAGTGACTATTAGACTCTACTAAAAAAATGCCACAAAAAGAATATTTGGTTCTTTCAGACCAAAAAAGTTAGAGAAAGGTGTAGTAGCGTTTCGACAAAAAAAAGGTGTAGTAGCGTTTGATTAGTAGCCTAATGGTAACTACAAAATTGCGTAATCTGACGAAATTTTTGATGAATTTTAGTAGAATTTGGCGGAACAATTTTAAATTCAAAAAGTAATATCTGAATCTTGCGGAATGTAGCAAAATTTTTGAAAATAAATTAATTAATTAAACTTATAAAAAATACTAATTAAAATTGTGTTTGTCAAAAATAAATATTTATGTTTATAAATGTATTAATTTTAGAAAATAATAATATTCTCTTGATGAGAAATTTTT